ATTTTTTTCAACATTAATATCAATTACATTTTATGTCTATTTTTAGTATTAATATTATTTTTTAGAATATTAGCATCATTTTTAATATTAATATAATTAATATATTATTTTTTTTAAATGCTAATACCATTTTTTAATATTACATTTCCAATATTAATTTTAATATTAATATCATGTCGTAATTTTCTTAACATTAATATCAATTATATTTGATGTCATTTTTAATATTAACATTGTTTTTTTAAATATTAATATCATTCTCAATATTAATATCATTAATATAATATTAATTTTAATATTAATATCATGTCGTAGTTTTTTTAACATTAATATTAATTACATTTAATATCATTCTTAATATTAATATTACTTTCTTAAATATTAATATCATTTTTAATATTATATTTTTAATATTAATATTATCAGTATTATATTAATTTCGATATTAATATCATTCCGTGATTTTTTTAATATTAATATCAATTTTAATATTAATAATATTAAAATCATTTTGTAAACTTATATCTCTTCATTTTATTCTTTTCTTTCAATAATTCCTCTTCCTTCTTCCTTTTCTTTTCTTCACTCTCTCATTCACATTTTCATTCTATTTTTTTACCTTCCCATATTCCTTTTATTTCCCCCAATTTCCTTTGAAATGATGAAGATAATGAAGATAATGATGATGATGATGATGATGGTGATGATGATGATGGATAATGACGATAAAAATAATGATGGTGATGATAGTGATAATTGTTGATGATGGATGATGATGATAATGACGGATGATGATGACAATGATGAATGATGATGATGATGATGACAATGATGATAATGATGATGTTGCTGATGACGATGATAGTGGCGAAAGAGACAAAACGGCGATGAAACAAATTTTATTTTCCACAAATTCTTCGTTTTATTCTATAATTGGCTTACCCTAAAAATCTACCAAAAATTTTAGTTTGAGACGAAAAATTGTTAAATTGTTTAATGTTCGTTGGCTTTCTTCTCCTCCTTCTTCCTCTAACTCCTTTTCTTGTCAACTTTTTTTTTTCATTTCATCATTCATTTTGCATTTTTATTTTTATTAAATTCTACTAGGAAAAATTTTATTCGTAGTAACAAATAATAATATATTTTTTTGGTTTCAAATCTATAAATTGTTCAAACTTTTACAAATAATTCAATTACTATTACAATCATTATTGTTGTTGTCGTCGTTGTTGTTGTTGTTGTTGTTGTTGTTGTTCTTATTATTGTTATTATTATTATTGTTATTATTGTCGTTGTTAATGCTTTTATCAATTATTATAATTATTTGTGATGAAAAGTCGGAAAATTTAACTATTGACATGTATTAATTATTAAAATTTCTGAATTAATTTCTCAATTAATTATTTTTTTTTTTTATAGAAACAAATGAATTGGACATGCAATACACAAGAAGGAAGCTCATCATCAATACCACATCTTTCCATTATTTTAACTGTACGATTATTAATGCAAGGAAAAGTAAGTTCTTTTTTATTTCCAAAAAAAATTTTAAAAATTTGATAAATCTTTTGAGAAAGGTAAAATTTCGGAAGATTCAATTAACATAAGTTAATTATTAAAATTATATTTACATTAAATGGTCATTTTTATATCACTTCATTTCTATCAAATTCAAAATATAATTGAAAAATTAAATAAGAATTTACTGGTTCATCATTATTCAAAAAATAATAACATCCATGAATCAAATTTAAATTATTTAAATGCGTAAATTTTTGAATATTTTAAAATCTTATCTAATTTCTTCTAATTTATTTTCATTCAATTGAAATATGTGTGCATTCCTGTAAGGCTATTTTAAAATAAGCTTTTTAAATCATGGTGAAATTTTATGAAAATTTGAAACTGAAAGTTTAAAAAAAACACCAAAACCAAAACCAAAAACTTTTTTTACTCTTTTAAAATATCTATTAGAGCAATAATTAATGATTATTAAATATCAGATATGTATCAATGAATTTCAAAACATAATATTTAAAAATAATATGAATAGAGAGGAAGAAAGAAAAAGGGAAATAGTTTGATAATAACTGATGATAATAAACATTAAAAATTATTGATAATAATAATAATAATGATCATGATGATGGTGATGATGATGATAATGACGGATGATGATGATGATGGTGATGATGATGATAATGACGGATGATGATGATGATGATGATGATGATAATGATGATTGTGATAATGATGACGATTGATAAGAAGAAGAAGAAGTTAATTAGAGTTTTTTTTTCTTTGTTTTTTTTTCGCTGTTATTCTATTATTGTTGAAATTTGATCATACAGTTGAGGAAAAGCTTTTAGAAAAAAAATATCTGAAAGAATTTCTTCCATCAAAATTCACGAAAAATATTAAATTTCCAAAGTTTGGTATTGGAAAAATAAAAGATAATAAGAGAGAAAATTTAAAAAAAAAAAATGAAAAGACAGACAGAAAGGGTGCAAAAAAAAAATGTGCGACGGACAATTTGAATGTTCAAATGATAAAAATTAAATAATGTAAATACTAAAAATTTGATTATTTGAAAAAAATTTCTCATAATAAGCAAAAAAAAAAAGGAAAAAAGAAAAACGCTAAAAAATTCCAAAATATAGCAAAATTTTTTATTCTATCATCCCAAAAGATTCTATCAAAATACTATTAGCAAAAAATATAAGATATTGATTTGTTAGAATTTGATTAATTTCGAAATATTTAGTAAGAATTATTTTAAAATTCAAAAAAAATTTTTGCATTAAACAATTGATTAATTTCAAAAATTAGCTAAAATAAAAAAAGATCGTTCCGTTTTTTTTCTTTAACTTTTTTCGTTTTTCATTTGCTAAAAACAATTTTTTGTCATCAGTGATTCATTGATGATAATTGAATGTTGCATAATGAATGTTAAGAAAGAATTTAAGAATATAAATATAAGGAATTGATAACGGTAGATGAGGAAAAGAGAGAGAGGAAAAGATAAAAAGACTGGAATGGAAGAAGGTAATGAAGAGAGGAGCATAAGGATTAGCAATTTGATTTGCATAAAATATATAAGTTAATGCTTCAAGAGCCTTAAGGCTTTCAACATGTCTCATTCTTCCATATGGTTTGTTCACAAAGTATTGGCCAAGCCAAAAAATAAGGATGAAAAAAAAAATGCAAGAATCAATAATTCCTGAAATGTGAATACTTGCATTAGGATGATTACAGTAATATAATCATTATCATTAATTAACACATAATAATAATGATAACAGAAATAACAATAGTAATAGTAAATGATAACAATAAATTATAATTAATATTACTGAGTAATAATTAATAATAATTAATAACAATAATAATAACAATAATAATAAATAATAAATTGATTATAATGAATAATAAATAGTTAATAATAATAATAATAATAATAATAATAATAATAATAATAATAATAATAATAATAATAATAATAATAATAATAATAATAATAATAATGAATAATAAATAATTATAATGATAAATAATAATACTATTACTATTATTTTATAAGGTACTGTTTGCTACTATGTATTACTATAATTGATTTATTATTTCAGGAAGTTGGAAGTATCATTGGTAAACGCGGTGATCATATTAAATTAATTCGTGATCAGTCTGGTGCAAAAATTAACATATCAGATGGTTCATGTCCCGAACGTATTGTTACAATTACGGGTAGTACCGGGACAATCAATAAAGCATTTATCATGATCTGTGCAAAATTACAACAGGTTATACTCAAATGAAATATTGATAAATTTTAATTATTATTATCTTTAAAAAATATATTTTAACTAATTAAAAAAAAAAAAATTACAAAAATCAATCAATACTACATATTATGGTTATGAGTAGAAATTTGATAACTTTAAACAAAAAAAAAAAAAATTATTTTGAATTTCTATAACTATCTATGTTAATAATTTTTTGTAGGATTTACAAGCACTTCCAAATAGCATTCCAAAACCGCCCATAACAATGCGCTTAATAGTGCCTGCAACACAATGTGGATGTATCATTGGTAAAGGTGGCTCAAAAATTAAAGAAATTCGTGAGGTAAGATAATAAACTAAAAGGAAGAAGTTAATATGTGATTTT